AATCAATAACACTTTTCAATTTTTATTTTCATATAATGGTTTCAATGCTTTGACCCAAAAGATGTATTCCCTAACAATACTAGGATATTATACTTGTTATATATTGTAGAATATTACACTTTAAAAAATAGATCATGGCATTCCTTGATATCTGTAATATGTATTTTTTACACAACATTGCAAACTTATCATGACTCTCTTCTGTGACAAATGTTGGAGAAAAGGACTTTCCACTCCAAAAGACTCTTCTCAAGAACCACTACTTTGTAGAATAAACTCCTGTGTGGATGTTTCCCCAAACACTACAATCTTGACCTCTCCAAGTCTTGGATCAATCATTATTTATCTGTCATATCCTCATAACCGTCACATCATACTTCTTCCTCTTACATTCATATCACACATCACATTCAGTAACTGCTTTCCTTGAGTGGCTCTTGAGCCTTGTATTGGATGAACTTTGATACAAAACAAAACAAAAAATAAGAATGACTCCAGTTTTAGTTTGTGTATGTGAGGATACTGATAAATATAGTGTAGTAATATCAGTTGTCAGCTGATATCTTTTTAAGATGTTTTTTTCTTTTTAATGATGTTACAGAAATTACTTTGACAATTATTGTCTTGACAAATAAGATCAGCTGAATGAAGTAAGCCTCACAAGAATCATATCAAACAACCCTGATAAAGAAGATCAGCTGAGTAAAGTGGATTTGATCAATAACATTTTTAGACAAAAGCTGACTGGACAAAGAAGGCTGGTTCTCTATAGGACAGTGGTCCCAAGCAGCCTAAAATAGGGGCCCTCTTGTGTGCAAAGCAAAAAAGAAGACACACGCTAGTTAGACCATTCACCCCTCACCTTGCCACACACTTCTTTGCTCATCTACAGCCAACCGTTACAAGAAGATTGCAGCAAATTTGCCAACTGCTACCATGTATCATGACTTTATTTTGTGGGTAATGATCTTGCCAAAAAATTATTTTCCTTGCATTAAGCTACAGTCATCCAACTGGAAGAAGCTGCACCAGGCAAACAAAGCTAGGGCAGCAATGCTCCTTATTAAACTAACCAAGCAAAAAGTTTGAACAAATTTTTAATCAGCTTCACTTCTGAATAACAGCCTTCTTTTTTAACTCTGGATTCTTTTCGTATTTTTCAGCAACACTTATTCCCATCTTCTTCTTCTATATCACCCATATCCCTTCAGGACATGGGTGATCATGACTCCACAATTTCCTGTCCTCTGATGCTCTTATTAAAATTTGTCTTTTTGTTATCTCACCTAATTCCTTTTCTTCCAACTATTGACACAAACTCATTAGGTATTATGTGTCACTTACCTCTGTCCCTCAACATGTCCTGTGAATATAAAAATTTTTAAGCTCTCTTTCCTCATTATGTGCCCTAGAAATTTCAACTCTCTTTCTGTTGCTAAGTATAAATATTCTTTTTGTTTTCATTTTCTTTAAAATGTCATTGTTGCTCACATGTTCAGTCCATGGTATTCTCAGCATCCTTCTGTAGAATTTATGTTATCTCAAGTCTCTTATTCATTTTCAAGTCACAACTTACCTGAGAGATCTGTGAAGTGACCAACCACAACCTTTTTCAGGTTGAATTTTTTTTTGTATTTATAAAAGCTAACCAAATGACATTGCTGCTTATTGATTTTACAAGCATTTCCCATGTTCACTCATAATACTTTATAGTAATTGACAATATTTTCATACAATTAAAAAAAGGAATCAGTTCCTTGATTGTTTTCTAATGATTTTTTAATAACCAAAATGGAAATTATAATTGTATTTTCTATACCAACAAATACAATTAAAAGTGACCAACTAATAAGTCAAGATTTTCCTTTAAAAATGCTTATTTTTTTTAAATCAAGGTGATAATGCCACTAAGAAACAGGGGGCTACTAGGAATGAAAGAGAATGAAAAGATTTTAGAAGGAACAGGAAACCCAATCCTAAACAGGGAACAAGGAATAGACCTATACTCCTGTTCAAAGGACCAAGGAGGAATGTGAACCAGATTATAGATGAACCTGTCTACTAGTAAATAAAATTTCAGATTTCAGACAGATGTTATAAGTATTGAGTTGAAGCAGACTTTAAAAGGAACCAGAAACCCAATCCTAAACAGGAAATGGGGCATAAACCTCTACTCCTGTTCAAAAGACTGAAGAGGAGTGTCAACAGAGTAATAGACAAACATATCTACTCCTATTGAGGAGAAACTTCTGCGAAATGAACACAAGTATCTCCTGTCTTACTCAGTACATTACTCACCTTTTAAAATCTGTGATATTCAAGTAACAGAAATATTGATACAAAAAACATTTATTGTATTGTTTTGCCATGTCTATAAAAACACACACACAAGAAGTGTTATTTGCCACAACACCATCTTTAATTATGCCTGATACTGGCACACAGTATAAGTATCATTAAAGAAGAAATGGATGTACATGACATGAAGTTTTATTATATACTTAGAGACAATCAATAGCTAATATGAACAAACAGGTAATTAAATAAAACATTTCTAATGAAGTGAATAAACTAATACATCAATCAGAAATTTGAAATACCCATTTCATATTAACTTGATGCAATCATCTTTTAATTAAATCTTATTTGTATAAATTCATAGAATCATTATTCAGCTCTCAAAGAATTTTTCTTACCTTTTCTGACCCAATATCACCTGAAGTGCATATGCCATCATAAAATAATTTCTGCATTGTATGTGTATTTTATATTGTATCATGATCTTTACCAAAATAAACTAAAAAAAAAATAATAATTTCCCTGCAAATAATTCTTAAAAGATATGCAAGAAAAATCTAGGTAAGCCTCAAAGAAATGTTTAAGAATTCCTTAATATTGGGCAAAGATGATACTGACAACATTTACATGAACCAACTTCTTCAAAATTGTGACATTGCTTGTATTGTTATGTTTTAATTAAATTTTAAACTTTTATGCATCTGAACAATGAAATCTTAAATAATGTTTTCAAAACTTTAAAAATATTAATCTGAATATAATTTAGTAAGGAAACAAATTTCTGACTAACATGGTTTTGCTTATACATTAACTTTCTGGCAAACTTTAACATACATACTTGAAAAAAAATGAATGTAAAAAGAATGGATTTTCTCTTGGCACCACTATTACTGCATATTTCCTCAACAATTTTTATTGTTTTAAAACCATTTTTAAAATTCATGATAAAAATCAAACATAAAAATTGATTTATACATTTTCTTTTTTTTTTGAGAGCTGATGACAAATGAATTAAACACTATTTTTATTGGATTGTTTATTCACATTTTTATATTTTATAATTTACAATTTTATAAAGATATGTGAACCATACAATACAGTATTTATTATTTGCTATATTATAAAGAAATAACTATGAAAATAAATGTTTTTATTCCTAAATTTATAAAAATATCTGTAAAATGAGAACAAGGAAATTTAAATAAATACAATACTATGAATAACTGTAATTATAAATGTTGAAAGAATGCATTTTCAAGACATTACTATCATTTACTCTCACCAAATAAATTCACAAAAATAGATGTAAGTATCTGGATTTATATTTTCTTTTCCTCAAAACTGACAACAAAAATGTTAAACACTTTCTTTTTTATACTGTTTATTGACAAGAATAGTGATAAATAGATTTGTTTTCAATTGTCAAGAAAAAAGACAATGCATAAATCAAGTTTCACATATTTTAATTTTATTAAAATAATAAAAATTGCCAAGGGAATATACAGTTATAGCAGTATCATATTTTTGCAGATACATTTTGTATTTAAATATGACCATAAGTGAGCTCTAGAATAGTATGATCAGTAAATGAATAATAAAATTAAACAGAAAATGTAAAATAAATATGCTTTAATTCCATTAGAGATGGCTTCTTAGTTTTTACTTGATTTAATCTTTTGAGCCAAGAATAAAATTCTTGTTGACATAACTCTCACAGCTTTCAAATAATAGAAATTAGATATTAACATACTCCAGCCATTAATATAGAGATTAAATTAAATGCAATGGATGTAGATTATTTTCCTCTGATAAAAATGAAAATTGTCAGTAGCAAAATCAAATTATTTTCAGTTTGTTCTTTTTATTTCTTTTTAATTTTTTGCTATTCTGATATCCTTGAGATAACTTTCGAAGATGTCATTAATTGATTCATTACTTCATGTAAAAATGAAATCATAACAAGCTTAATAAAACAGGCAATGCAAAATAATGTTTATTTCTCATTATTACATTTTCTAAATTTCATAATTCTACATTGTAAAAGTATTACATTATCTTCATTACCATGACTCCATTCTTAAGAGCCAGCATTGTAAATCTTATTATATCAAAAGCAAGGCATCATCACTATTTGTATTATCATTAATGTTTTTTGCTGATGGCCATTTGTGGTAAAATAGAAACGGTTATCTCCCTTAGACTGTTCAAACAGAAAAGATATAACAGATGGGAGTAATAGAACCCCAGGTTGTTTGATAGGCAGATACACAATGATGAGACTGAGGTCACACAGAAAACTGTGTAGAACAGCTCATCATTTACAGAATTTGATAAACAATGAGAAGTGTTCCAGGTCAAATGTAGCCATGGATGTCCATCAGAACTTTGAGAATGAGCAATCAACCAATTCTTATATAATTTGTTTTTTTCTTATTGACTGATTCATTTTCTATGGCTTACCAACTCTTTGCAGGTTATTTAAAGCCAGAAAATATTTTTTTAGATTGTAAGATTGTTTTTTAGATAACAATGATCATGTGATATAAATTTTGCTAATTAACCCATAGCTGGGGAGAGAAGAGGTGGACTCATGCCTTTCTGAAGGATATTTGTATATAAGTGAATTTAACAAACCTAACTGGAATTGGAACTCAGCTCTCTGATTAACAATTTTGATCAAATTACACCACTACACATCCAAGCTTACAGCACCTGGTATTCCCAACTTGTCATCCATCTAGGTACTGACCATGTTCAACATTGCTTAACTTCATTGATAATACGGGAACCGGTGCTTCAATGTGATATGGCCATAAGCCTAATTTATTGGTCTCAAACAGGATGAAATAGCCAACAGACAAAGAGTAACATCCAAAGATAAACTTTACTCTCATCTCTCAAACACTACAATATAACATTATCACTAAATTCATATCTCGGTTCATTAACAACACAACGTTTTTCTTTTAGAATCACTTACCTAGGTCATAAGTTGTTATGGAAAAATGATGGAACAGCTGCTTTTCAACATAGGATCAGCTTCATGTGAGATGCTCTTAAAAAGAATAAAGAATTGCTTACATCTAATCAGATAACTTATAGCATCAAAAGTAAGACCTATAATATTTAGATATTGGTTGTGTATCTTTATGGAACTGAGCATGTGGATTGGGCCTCAACTTTATGCCAGAAAACTGAAACTATTTAAAATCATAAGTTTCATGACAAGCTATATATATATGTATATATATATATATATATATATTATAATTATTTTTTAAAAAATATGATTCCTTCACTACATAAGAGTTCTCATGTTTCAAAAACGAGAGCCGAAAACCTCAATATAATTATTAAAATTAAATTGAGTTAAAGTATCAAGCCCTGTTTCATCCTCAAGTGAAAATTTAGAAATTTTTGCATTCATTGTCATATAGGATGATCGATATTGCATAACAGTTAAGTACTCTTTTCTTTGTTTCTAATGAAATTTTACTTTTTCTTAATACTTTTGGAAGGCATCATTTGCTACTCTAATACAAGTTCAGATTTCTGTGCTGCATTTTCACTACTCTGTTAAAACACTTCCTAGATATTTAAATTGTTTCCTTGCTTGATTATGGTATCCCCAATTTGTAATTTGCATGTTGGGTGTTCCTTTTACTAACAATTATGTCTTCTTACAATTGATTATTTTTGGGTGTTTTTTTTTGTCCTTTCTCCTTGCTTTCCTTTAGTACCTTCTGTAGATAACATAAAATTCACTAAATCAGGTAGTCCCAATATCTACTAAGAGAGTATTAAATTTGACAAAAGAAGTAGAAGCAGGCAATCAAAACAGTGATGTGACAATGTATATGAGTGGCCGGGTCATGATCCAAAAACATTAAATACTGTCACTAAATGACAAGAAAGAACTGTCTCCTGTTTGTATACAATGTGCTTAAGTAGAGATATTAAAAAATATCACTTTTTTTCTTCATGCATAAACATTGAAAGAACTTGAATTTTCCTCCCTTAATCAAGATAAGACTTTAACATCTTAATTGTATATTTTCCCTGCACATCACATCTCAAGAAAGTGAACACTTCTGACAGTAGCATCAAATCTTGTAGCTCTGCTGATCACGCATACACATCTTTTTGACAACCACTATAAGGCATCATTCAATCTAAATTTAATTCACTTAAGGGAAAAAATCATAACAGGGGTCAGGTAGAAAAAAAAACTTTCTTTTAAGATGCAAATATTACTTTCTTAATTGGTTAGATCATTTCTTTTGTATCTATAATCACTTTTTGATGTACAACCTCATCTAAAAATGTTATCTGGTTTCTCTATGATTAATTTTGATTCCTTACGTCCATTAAGGTCAATTATACATCCAAAGTTTGATTCCAAAAGATTATATTTGCAACTTCATTCTATTTCATGACTTAATGTAGCCAACATAAATTTTGGAGGATTTTCCGCAACTATTAGATGCCTTGTCACATTGATTACAGGAAATATACAGTAGAAATTTTAAACTGTTCATGCTCACCATAAAATCCAGTAAAAAATTATAGGTTACTTATTAGTTATAGATTTCTACTTATCACTGATTAATGCTTATCCCCAAAATGAAATGCTGGGTATTAATGGGTTAATTTAGAAGAACAAAATTCACATTTATGAATGAATGATTTACACTGTGGTAGATTTTATTATAAAAATCAATATTTTAGCAACAAAATCGGCATTAACCAAACAACATTAGTAAAATTTTCGAGATCTACATACCATGTAAATTTCAGCTTATAATTTTTTTTTATTAGATATATTTGCAATAACTTATTTGATGATGTGAGATTTTATTATCAGGGATGTTCATTGTAACTACACATTGTTATCATAACTATAAAGTAGTGGCCATAATATAGGAACGGAAACAACAAAGACATAAATATATGTATTACTTAAAAAGTAATGCATGATTAGCAATGAAATTTTTACCAAATAAAGATTAGGGTGTAATGCACAAATATTATATGAAGTTACAAAAATTTACATAATAGTTTTTTTTTTAAATAAAGATTAAATGGAACAAAGGAAATAAGCTACTGGACAAAAGTTAAGGAACGATCTTGTTAATACTTGATTGTGAACAAAATATCAACAAAATTTAATATTTGGTAAACATCCACTTATTTTCAATGACTTTTCTGTATCATCGACCACATGATCTAATTCATTTTTTGCAAAAATCAGCAGTAATTCCCTCCCATTCATCTTTCAATAACTTCCATAGGTGATCCTGGTTTTTCGGGTTTCTTTTCTGAGCCCTTTCTCCAGTTATCTTCCAAACATTTTCTATTGGATTCAGGTCGGAGCTCTGGGCTGGCCACTTCATTAGGGCGATTCCTTCTTCTTCAAATAAAGCCATAACCTTCTGAGCCTTGTGGCAAGGTGCATTGTCCTGCATAAAAATAGGAGATTCATAAAGATTATGGTGTAATCTTGGTACCACATGCTGCTGAAGAAGCCTTTTGTAAATCTTAGCATTGATATTGCCATGTACACGGATGATAGGGCCAACTCTTGCAGATGAAATCATTCCCACACCATCACACTGCTGCCACCAAACTTAACGGTTTTGTTGACACATTGAGAAGACAGTCTTTTCACCTATTCTACGGCATACGTAAGTTTTGCCCTCAGAACCAAATATAGTAAACTTGGATTAATCACTGAAATGAACTGTATCCCATTGTGCGTCAGTCCAAACAACATGTTCTCTTGCATACTCCAGGCATGCCCTTTAGTTTTGTTTTGAAATGAGAGGCTTCAAGCTGGAATACGGGCATGCAATCCTGTATTTTTTAACCTGCAAGCAACCATTTTCCTTGAGATTTTATCTGTCTCTTCATTAAATCTAAAAAATTTCATTGCTAATCATGCATTACTTTTTAAGTAATACACATATTTATGTCTTTGTTGTTTCCGTTCCTAATATCATGGCCACTACTGTGTATATATATATATATATATATATATATATATATATATATATATATATATATATATATAATAGTATAGTTAATTATAATTATTTTTAATTTCAGATATATTGTCATTGTTCATAAGAAAGATATAACCTCAAAAGTGAAATGAAATATTGTAAAGTTATTGTGTGATAGGAAAACAATGTTAGAAATTGGAATTCCATTTTATAAATTTTAATCATTTTTTTACAGTTGTTTATCAATATTTTTTTTTAAATTTTAGTTTTCCATTGCAATCAAATAAAAGACATAACTTGATACAAGACTTTAAATCTATGCAAGAGAACTGATGCCACCCAAAATTTTAATATGGATTTGATAATATTGCCAGATGTTTCAAAATTTATTATGAGAATAGCATACAGTGCTTATTTAAATGATTTTAAGTACAGACTGAAATATTTTTATGCTTTGTATTCCAGAAGTCAGTTGCTTTATTAAATATACATGTAAACTGCTAAGCAGACATTTGAGGAAGTTGATTTAAAATAGGCACAAACTTGCAGATGTTCAGTAAACATCAGGTATTAAAAAGAAGTAGACTCTAAAATTACCACAGAGGAATACTGCCTTATCTTTATATAATCATATTGTTTTGTCTAGAATTTGTTACATTAGTAGAACACCATTATATGATTTGTACTGTTGTGCCTTTGGTGTTTTTACTTATACTTTTTAAAATAATCATTGGGTATATATAGATATATAGAATAAACCAATTAAATGGTAAAACATCATACCTACCAATTCTAAGTCTGCCTAAAAAGAAAATATGAAAGACTGACAGACAGTTACCTAAACAAAAAAATCTAAAATGCTCAATTTCTCTAGAAGGAAAAAAAGAAAAGCAGTAACAATAACAAATCATGCTTTCACACAAAAGCAATCATCAGACATCTGATGTTTATCATCACATGAACTGCATATTCACAGGGAACATTTTGGTGCTTGTTATATATATATATAAAACAATAACAAGATTGTGTTTCACCAAAATCCAATAAATTCAAAATCCAATTTTGCAATCAAGTTTTCTAATGAGAGGATGTAATTTCTACTTAACTCAGTATAGATAAGTTAAGTGAACATTTAGTTATATATTGATTGGGTGGCAATTTTTAATTTATACACCCTTGTGCAAATTAATTGAAACAAAATGAACAGTTCCATTATTATTTACTTTTTTTCATATTTTTGAAATGAAATATGAACCAGTGTACATGTTAGTGCTTCATATGTCCATTCCACAAAATCGTTCCTTGTTGATTGACCACAGATTCTCGATATGATTAAATCAGAAGAGTTTCCAGGCCAGTCTATAGTACTTTGATTTGCTCCCTGGTAAAGTTTGACAGTGTGTTCATGCAGTGTTACAATTTTGGAGTAACATCTATTGCAGACAATGGTTGCAGGATAACTAATCGACAGTTGAGACAATAGTACCTGGGTGTGATAAAAATCTTATGCAATCTCGGATGACACAGTATTTTTCTTGGCCAAGCAAATTTCATCATACACCCTGAAAATAGATTCATATTACTGCACAAATAACCTAATCTGAGGAAAAAATAGAAATCAATTACACCCTGTCACTTCATTGGATCTAAGACTGACTGTATGATGAAAGAAAGGAAACTAAAGTGATTGTTTCAATTAATTTGCACAAGGGTGTAGAAGTTCTTCATTTGAAGTATTTTAATTAAATGTTTCAATGGTGTGCTGAAAGATTGGTTATTTCCTTTCTACTGTCAATACTGTATACTTCTCTGAT